TTCAAACTAAAACAACAGCAACTCTTCACGGTTAGCGTCATTTTTACGGCGAATCGGATTCAATTGGAAAAATTGTTTTTTTTTGTATTTTTAGATTATTTGGGTAGAAGGTGGTTCCAGGTGAGACCTTGAAATGTCCAAAATATCATTCGAATGAAAAATTTTAACACTGAAAGATTAAAGAAAAAAGTCAAATAGGTTTCACTTGAGATTAGGTTAATTATTTATTTCAATTTCAACATTCTGATCATTATTTGTCAAAATAAAACATTCGTCATTCTTCGCTGAACACCATGTTTATTGTGTCCGCTTTCTAACATTCATCACATTTTTCAACGGATGTAATTAACCGGTGGAAAAAAGAAAATCATATCAAACAAAACTGATCAATGAGGCGGAAATTCTTGCAAATTTTTATACCATTGTGCTTTCAAGCAGTAGTGGAGAAGGTACGGACGGGACATACACTGTACTTCAGTACTCTATTGATTGGTAAATAATCATGGCGGCTCCATATTATTGCAAAAAGCAAAAATGGTACGTTCTTTAATGAAATGTACGAGATAGACGAAACATATTGTGGAGTTTGAAAATATTGGGGTGCCATTAAAATGCTTGTGTTTGGATTTATCTAAACAGAACAGTTCACATTCCACTCATTCCACAATTTTTTTTCTTCATCAATCCATTTACAAAACGAGTGGATTGCCAAATTGAAGAGTAATTTCCGGTGTAACACGTATTCAATTTTCAATAGATATTCGCACGGAATGATGTAATTGCTTTTTGCAATTGACGTATCTTCCAACTGAAATTTTTTGTTGATTGGGATATTTTATTAATTAAAGTTTTTGAATTAAAGGCCAAATTTCGTGCATTTTTCACAGAACAGAAAAAAAAATTGAAACAAATTCATCAAATTGACATATGAATAAAGAATGATATATTTCTAAAAAGATTATCTTAAGATAGCTCAAAGCTTTATCGGAAAAAAAGATAAAAAAAAAGATAAATTTAAAAAAGATATCTAGATAGATTTGGACATTTTTGAGATTATCTCGTTTTTATCTAGATATTTTTTCTGGGACAGAACCAAACGCTGATCGTTTGTCATTCGCTTAAAAGCTCCCTGAATGATAATTTAATAATTTGGCGTGGGTTTGAGTTCAGTCACTTAGTGTTATTCCATTGTTCTTGCTATCCAGTTAGCAACAGGTGAATTTAACACTCGAAACGATTTTTTTCTTTCTTTTTCACTAAAACAACAGAAATCAAATATTCAACTGATTTAAAAAAAAAAAACTAGCTTACAGTACCTAACACCAAAACCGCACCGAATTTTATTACAATTATCTGTTGAATGTCTGATTGAACTGAAGCCGAAAGGAATTCTGATCGCCACTGAACTCTCATCGGAGTTTTAGTCATGTATTCATGATGAAAAACATTTGTTGAATTTAATAAAAACAACAAAACAAAAATCGTTTAAATCCCAGAAGGCAAAGTCGTAAAAACCACAGATCCAAATTCCAAAAATAGCTTGAGTTATGGCTTGCGGTTCGATTGCTACTAATTCGTATTTACATTAATATCAATAATACCTCCGTTCGAAATAGGCGCACAAAGACATTCAATTGGAAATGTAAACACATGTATTTGGACGCAATGGAATATTGTACACGGTGTCCAAGTACACACAATATTCCGCCAGCAAGCGTTGATAGAGAGGAGAGAGTGTAGAGCATGAATTAGAGAGAGTGCGCACTAGGCAGAAATAGTCTAGTAGTATAGACACTATTGTCTATTGAAAGTTATCTCTTTCCCAACTCATATCAAATCCAGCGTAAAACTGAAAGGCATTCAGTTGATTTCAATACATTTTTGTTCTGGTTTTATCCACTTTTCGATAGAGAGAAGACAATTAAAATTAAAAACATCGAAATTGGTTTTTTTTCATATCCCAATCAAAACGGAGAAATCGAAATGAACATGATTCACAGTCAGTTTATGAACTAAATTGATCTTTAAAATAAACGGAACATTGGAATGACCTGCATTTTTTGAAATTGTTTTGAATTTTGAAAAGACTTGACTCGTGTTGAATTTCGCATGAGAATTAAATATTTGAGCTTTTATTCAAAATCTTCCAATACTTATGGTTATTGGACATTTTGATACTGAAAAAATTGCAATTGTTTTCCAGCTAAACGTATGTAAATACGGCTCTACATGTGTTTTTTCCATTAATTCAACACGAGTCTTGCTATTAAATGAGTCTTCTCTTCTTTCTTTTTTTAATGAAAAATTATCTACAAGAAAGAATTATGAAGCTATGCAAATGAAGGTGCTGTAAACAAGTTTAAAATTTTCATCAATTTTATTAAACTCTGTATTTAACATAAAAATAAAGGCATTAAACAGTTTAGTTACTTCAAACATTCCAATACTTTCCAATTAGATTGTCAATGAAGAAAGCGTCTGATTATAAGGTGTTGGTGACATTTCTACGCGGTACATTATTATAATACGATTCCTTAAACCTTTTCAAATTCACTCTTTTTCGTTAGAATTCAAATAAAAAAACGAATATTTCAATAGCCACCATGAGAAACCGCATTTTCATTCGCATCTTTACGACTTAAACTCAATATTTTTTCAGAACAGTTTCAATAATGCTCGGTTTTCTAAACGATTATTATTATTGGATGCGCTATAACGAGCTCTAGAAGCTATGCGCTATTAATTACCATTTATTACTTTTCACCGCATAAGTAAATTACGCGTAATTTGCGTACGTCGAAAGGCATTAATGGCTTCTAAGCGCTTGCTGCTGTTTTTGTTTGCATAATAATACAAAATTAAATGCCTCTTATATTGAACAGTGAATAATAGATACTTTTCTGAGTGCTTGTAAATATAAAAATTGTGTTGTTATCAGAAATTCCGTTTGGCTGCACAAAATCAAAATGTACCAAACAGCCAGCTATTTGAAAATAGCTCAGCTCAATATGAAGCCTAACGGAATGTCTGGTTGATATTGATGAGAAAAAAAAAACATTAAAACTCGTCCAAACACTTTACACTGTCTAATTTTGAGCATTTCATCAAAAACATATAATTTGTCGATTGGATGGTTATTCGCACCTCAAGCTACACACATTCATATTATACCCATAGTTGTGTGCACATTAATGAGCTGTTACGGTTCGAAACATCATAAAGTAGGACATAACCGTATTCATGATCTTAAAAAAACCAAATACAAATCAAACAAATATCTGTAAGATTCTTTTTTGATCTATATTACAATACAACTTACTTTCTTATACGTTTCCAAATTTAAGAACGCCATTCCATATCCATCATAGTTCATCGGGATCTGCGCATTTCCAATCATCAAAATGAAATACTTCTGTAGCCAGTTAGATTCATACAAACTATTGGCCATGTTCTGGAAACTGTTCGCAGCCACTTGTCCAAAATAGCAGTACAAAAACAGTGTGGAGAGTGAAACGTCGGATGCCATCAATAACATGGCAATGTCAGAGTTCAGATTTTGGAATTGGTTTTGTGGTTGATAACATTTTTAAATAGTAATAATCATTGAACAACTCGAATAAACTATTGAAAAAAAAAATATTCTAATTATAATAAGAAATCAACCGTCGATACTTCGCATCATTGAAAAATACGAGAATGCAAGTTTAACAATCTGGAAGAAGGTAAATTAGGCACGTTTAATTTTATGAGTTCAATATTTTTCAAGTGAATTTTAAAGAATATTCTCCAAAAAACCTTTCTTGAGTTTTTTTGAGTATGTTGAAAGAAATTACCTTTTGGAAACTTTCACGGGAGCATTTTGTATTCATGACACCTTGAATGTAGACCGGTCTTTGCGACATTATCATCATGATTGCCTGCATTTTCTGAACCCTTACTGGAAATTCTTCCCAACAGCATTGATTAATGGATTCGTCAATTGTTTCAGCGCTCATGGTTACCAAATGTCCGAAATGGCATGGGAATGTGACATAAACCGTTACCAATGGTATGAAAACAATTGCGCGTACAGCATCAGCCGTATTGTGCAACGCGATTGCCTATGATATACAGAAAATGGACGAATACATTTTTGAGCGAAAATTTCTTTTGTCCAATCGAAAGGTAAAAAAAAAATGCTCATTAGGATAATAAAAGAATCGTTTATTCACCGTATTAATGCCAAAAAGATTTGCACATAAAATGATCGATGAAAGGCCGAACATTAGAAATATGATCGTATTATATAAGGTTGAAAAACGATTCGTGTACCTTGAGATAATGAGAAAAATGTAGGATAAATTAACGACAAAATAAGAATTCAAAAAAATAATTGTTCGTTAATCAACAACTAACTGTTTAACAAGCGAATGGAATTCGATGATCTCCGAAAGCATTCGACTGAGTTCGATACGATTTTGAGCGGTTGCGGGATTTCGTTGTCTATCAATGACGGCATCGTTTAGTTTTTTGAATTTGCGTTGAATATCCATTGCGAATGCAACTATTACGGTACAAAATGCAGTGAAAGGCAACATGGCGGTCACTACTACCAACAAACCCCAACAAAGCAATGACAACTGTAACAAAGACCCTGTTAAGTATCCAGTTAGAGTCTTCCAGTGCCATGGAATTCTTGAAGAAAACATTGAAAAATATGCCCAGTTAAAAAATCTCTTAAAAATTGGCAAGATAGCAAGGAAAATTGAGTACAAAATATGTTAATTACGTTATCGGCATCAACAATTCGAATGATTTGTCCGTCTGTTCAAACTTATAATATCGATAGAGTGAAAGGAAAAACTTTGGTAACACCGATGCAGTACCGGCTATAATGATCCAACGTCGAAATTTGACCGAAATTTTTTCACATTTTTCACTTTGCTCTTCATATATGAGGCGAATGTCTGGTCGATTTTGACTTTCTATGGGGAAAATAAAAAAAATAGTTTCGATAATATAAGGAAAAACCAAAATTCTTTTCAAGCCAGGTGTTGGAAAATGGATCGTTTGAGCTTACGTTTGTTAATGGTAGTTTCCAAATCGGTCCATAAATTCGACATTGTTTTGATGTTCAACCATAAAATCATATACACGACAAATCGAAGGGCATTGACGATACAATAAAGACTGCTGTTGAAGTATGCGCTAAATGTTTTCGCTTCAAACAATGCGAAATAAAATGCTGAGAAAAAATAAGCCGCTACCCATGAAAGACCAACAAAAATATGGACACAATTTATGACTTTTGTGTAATTGCGTAATTGAAAAGGTAGCTTCTGTTCTGGTATCGGTAAAATGCCAACAATTGTTAGACTTTCCTTGGCTGTTGAAAATATAGCCATTTTTTATTGAAAATTTTTCACTTTTTATGAACAACAGAGATGTCTACATCAATATCAATCAGCGCCGTAGCCAGGCCGGCGCAATGGGTGCATTGCACCCTCCAAAAATTTCAAAGGTGCAACAAGTTCGGGTGCAAAATCGGGTGCAAAATCGGGTTTCAAAGGTGCAACAAAAGAAAAATTTCGATTTTGCACCCTCCAATTTTTTTTTCTGGCTACGACGCTGATATCAATCAACGATTAATACGGTATATTGAGAAATGTTTCGTTTCGCAGAGTTCGAATGAATTTCTATTTATTCTCACAGTTCGACACTTCTTCGATCAACTGTTGTGATTCCTCAAACAAAGCCACTGGATAACTGCAGAAAATGCATTTTGCCTTTCACTTTATATATGCACGACGAATGACCTTTATTGTTTATGTGAAAGTCACAACGCATTTGATTTCATTCAACGTGGCAAAATTGACATCAAGACATTTGTTTTCGGATGGCTTAGCATCTTGCATATTTAATGCTGTGTATTATATGCTCGTATATCAATGACGCAAGTCACTGTATAAAATTGGCATGCGCTGCTGCGTTAATTCTAGCCTACGCACACAGTGTCACACACACATACGCAAGCATCGAAAGTGCCCGTGTACTATAACACTTTTAGGCTAAGCACGTCTATTTATTTATTTATTGTCTAGAGGTTCAGGTCGTTTTTGACTCACCAATACGAGCTCGTCATTATTTATTGATGAAATGTTTGATAATTCTAGTAAGCGACTTCGCATTTGGACGAAAAAACGATTACCTTGGGAGAATAGCGATGACGATAATAACAATAAACAGGGCCTCCTTTTGGCTAGTGAGCTTTACGCCTCTGCACAATGTTACTCAAATATTATTTCTTAATACTCGGTAAGATCAGATAAGATCTTCAGAAGCCAACGCCCACAGGCACTTCTTGAGCGCGTACACATCTCTGTTGGTCTTTAGATAAACAAGGCCCTGCCGATAATTATTATGATTTGAATGCCAATATGGAAGAAACTTCGTTTTGGACGTTAATCGTCCTTCATGTCTTCGTCGTAAATCAATATGCGACAGCAACCGCCAACCATTTTTATTTGGATCGAGAAAATCTACCTTCATTATTATTTGCTGAAAAAACATAATTATTGAGACAGGTGGATATTTTCATAATACTGCAGTGGCCAGTAACAGGAGAAAGTTTTTCCTGGAAAATATCATTTTATAATTTTACGACAATTTGCTTAATTCGAGTCAAAGTGCTAATTTTCACAACATTGTTAAAAATGCCATTTAGCACAAAAAGCTTCTGTCCATCGCAATTTGCCGCGATTAAGCCAACTAACACCACTACTTCGATCTATCCATATTATTTTCTTAATCATCGATCGGATAATTGCATTGAAAAGAACGCTTTGATCAATGTCACTTGATAGCTGAAAGAATAAGTAGTCATTTGCTGCAAATTACTCCCAGGCCCGTAACCGCAATCAAAATTATATGGACGAAAAATATATCCGGTAACATTTCTTCCCCCAAAACTAACGATTTGAAAATGGATCAAACCCACACATAGAATCAAATGCATAATTAATTTTATTCTAACGAAAATTTTGGGTAAGAAGTGGTTCAGGTGCTTAATTTTTCGAGCGTCCGTAAAGTACGTGAGAATTATATGGATAATGCATAATATATGTGTAATTATTAGCTGTAATAAAAAGTCGACCCTCTCGCTGCTGAAAACTCTTATCATGTGGTAACTATATTTTTTACATTGTGTTGATTGCATCGTTTATACGCCATATCCTTGCATTTTACACGTTCCTTTGACGTTTCGGCGGTTTCGACTAATTTTCAACATAATTGCGTGATAATTTAGTCAATTCCATCAATTTAATGAATCGATGTTATACGAAAATGCCAAGGCAAAGAATATTTTCATTTTTAGACAGTTTTCTGTTACATTTGTATAGAGTCTATGGTATTAGTAAGGCATTATAGAAAATGATAATCGAACTAAATGAATTAAAGCGAGCATGATTTACTCTGTGTTTCCTGAATTCAAATTTGATTGTATATACTTATGTTCTTGGTATAAAATGATTTTTTTTTTCGAATTTTGGTCATTTTGATACCGAAAAAGACTTTAGAAGTGAAAAACAATTCTATCTCAGGCGAATTCGCATGTAAAAAGAATTGTTCATGTCAATTAAGACAACACCCTTTGAATAGTCATCAATTTCATGAAAACAACGGAAAAAATAGTCAAGACACATCAATACAGTCTAAATTAGACTTTCAATATAAAAGTACCAGTCTCAGCATGATGTGTTTCTATGCAAATCGTGATTCACCCTTTTTTGTTTCAATAGAAATAGACAAATAGATATTTCGTCTTCTTGTCTATTTCCACTTTCCTCTTAAACCCATGCTTAAACTTATTTGCCAGTAAATTACTTACCATGTCGATAATTCCATACGAAGTTAAGATGTTTTTTTATACATGGAGCCGTGGATCATCTTGTTTGAACTCGTTCCAAAATTCGTTTCGTTCTGAATTAGCTAAATTTTAATATTTCTTTCCATTCAATGTTCTTGTCTTGTGTAAGTACTAACTTGCCGAATATTCATTTACTTTAAGTTAGTATTAGCATTGTTTCATTAGTTAAATGTAAAGTTTACATTGTGATCCAATTGAATGAGTTAATTTTAATAACAAAGGAAAAATAATTGCAAGTTTAAACGTGTTAGTAATGAGAAAATGCTGATATTGTCAGTGCTTATAGCATCTAGCATTAAGTTTGCTTCTGTTTTGAATTATCATAATATTTATGAAATGAACTACATTGTATTTAATCTATTCGCTACAAAAAACAATGCGAACATTTCGTAGGATAATTTAAGCCAGAATTTGTACATCAGCAAGACAGTCTTGCTCGGCTTTTTCATGAATACAGAAGAATAGCTAACACTAGATGAGATAATACTCGTAATTCGTTGGTTTTTTTATTTTCTTTAATCAAGCTAAAAGGAGTTTTGGTTTTTTTTTCTCAACAAATTGTCTAGTAGTTTTCGTTAATTTCAGGCATTTCGTTGGCAAAACTTTGAAAAGATTTTCATTAAAGCAATCATCTGACAAAAAGAGTGTTATTAAATAATCAGCTGTGTTCAGGAATAAAAAAATGATAAAGTTTAAGTTAAATTTTCATTGTTAGTTCAACTCACTGTTGAATATTTAGAAGAAAATTTAAATATTGTTTCAAGTCAAGTTTGGATTCAAAATTCAGAAAATTTATGCCACTAGAAAAAAAATGACGTATTTAAAAAATGAGGGGAAAAATCAGAACAAAGAGAAAGATTACAAATGTCGGCAGACTTTATCACAGGTTATTGCATCAATCCAGTTGAAAGTGTATTTAATTATGTTTTTTTTTTTATCGTTATCAGTTCTGTGAAAAAATTAAGTTTTGCTTTGAAAAAATTGAATAATTTTGGATCTCTGATCGTTTAGTTACTTGCAACAACAGCCGCAACTTTGCTCTTTTTCGATATTGGACTGTGTATTACATTTCCATTCATTGTGATAGCCGCGCTTACCGGCTTCCATAACAGACACAATGTAAATGAAACGCTTTCATTTACACCGATTGAGGCTTCGTGGTTAGGTAATGCCGATGATATCAACGGCTTACATGTCATTATTTTTGCTAAAAGAATAAAATAATTTCATTTGTAGCTAGCATTCAGCCGATATCTGGAGCAGCTGGCAGCATATTGTCAGCAGTATGCACGGGTAAGGTGATTCGAAATCTGATTTAATCCGAAAGTGTACAAGTTTATGCTGTAACTTGTGAAATTTTGAATTTTAAACAAAAAGTTTTATTTCAATCTTCATTCAAATAGATAAATACGGTCGCAAAACCTGTATGCTGATTGTTAACATTCCGCTGTTCATTGCCTGGTATTTGATGTACAGTGCGTCAAGTGTTTGGCAAGTTTTCTTTGCGAATATTCTATTAGGACTTAGCGCTGGTCTGACCGAATCGACCATCATCAATTATGTTAGCGAAATCTGGTAAGGTTCACGACTCCCAAAAATGCTCCAACACTTAGCGTATTTAAAACAGCGTTTTTTTTTCTTCGAAAATTCAATTTTTGGCCAATTCAATTTATAGCCAACCAAAAATCCGTGGAATGATGATGATATACACATACATTGGTTACGATGTAGCAATTATTATGGTGGCCACTTTGAATACACAGATGTCTTGGCGGTTGGTCAGCATGGTGTTCATGTTTATTCCCATCATTACAGCAGTTGCCTTATTCTTTGTGAGTTTTCAATATTCATCTTTCGTTTCACATTTCAATTCTTCGATTTGCAATTTTTTTCACTCGTTTCATCTGCTTTTTCATTTTTTTTGTTTAAATTCATTCTTTTTTCATTCATTCGAACCTTTTTCTCAAGATGAAAATCTCATTTTGTTCGTTCATTTTTTTCTTGTCAAAATCCTTCATCCCATGCGATCATTCATTTACTTTTGGAATCTCTTCTCAGATACCTGAAACACCATTGTGGTTGTTATCAAAGAATCGAACGGCTGATGCCGAGAGATCGCTCCGTTGCCTACGCGGTTGGGTGCCAAAAGAGGCTTTAGCCCATGAGCTACAGGAAATGCAACGCTACAGCCGGCGATTTAAATCGTGTGATGCATGTATCAAAAAGGACTTGACTTGTACACATCCGCCGCCAACATTGGGCCAAAAGTTCATCGAATTGAAGCGGAAACAAACACTGAAGCCACTTTTCGTTGTGATGGCACTATTTGTCATTACATCCTTTTCGAACACATTTCTGATGCCGACATACATTGTGCAGATTTCCACGGCCTACCACTTGCCATTGGATTCGGACCATTTTGCAGCCGTACTGAGTTATGCGTACTTATTGGCCGATATTTCATCAATAAGTTTGATACGTTTTACCGGCAAACGAAATCTATATCTAGCAATGTTAAGCATTCTATTCTTGTGTGCGGTAACCATTTGTGCGTATGGTTTTGTCGTTTTACCCAGCGGCTACAGCTCATATCCACACGTCACACCGAATTTCAAATTACCAAACAAACAACTCGGCTACATCCCATTCGCTTGCATCATTTTGGCCAGCTATGCTATTTATTGTGCAGTCAACACAATACCATGGCAAATGATGTCAGAACTGTTCCCCTATAAGTATGAACACATTATGTCGTTTTTTCTTCTATTTCTTAGTCAAAATCGATTTTTATTAATCAAAAAGTGGTTTTTTGCCTCTTCAGAAATAATTTTTTGTTCAAAAACTAGAATTCAACGATTTTTTTCCAGCCAAATCAAGCAAATATAAAAGAATCGTTCATTTCTTTTAGAATTCGCGGTACAGCGACTGGTATAGCGGCAGCTTTATCTTATGTACTGGTTTTTATCGCAACCAAATCGTTTCACAGCATGGACACGACATTATCATTGCCCGGAGTGGCTCTATTCAACTCCATTGTTATTTTTGTGGGTTTAATTTTGATGTATAAAATTCTACCGGAAACGGAAAATCGCACGTTAGAGGACATTGAAATGCATTTTGCAGACAAGTCCAAGAAAATTACAGATCGAAAAATCGACAAGCGTGATTCGAGGCAAAGGGAACATGGAAATGATAGTGGTAGAGTAGCGCCTAAACGTGTTACTATAGTTGAAATTGATGAACGACATGACAAGAAAAATGAAAATTCTTATGACAACTGCGGATTTGCGAGGATTTAGTGGAACAATTGGAATTGGTCTAGGAAGAAAATGGAAAATATTAAAAGAAACAAAGTAAAAAAAGTTCAACAAACGACTGCCATTAAAATACAAAGATTTGACTCATTTCTCCATTTCAGATTTTACCTAAAGTTTCATAAACTTGTGACAAAATGGAATAAAGAAAACATAATGAGCTATAATAAACGGCATTCATTAAATGCACCGCTTTCAATCACGAAATTAAGACAGTTTTTATATGCGTTTGCAGAAGCGCACGATGTGAGTTTTCTACTTTCTTCATAATACATTTCTTTTTACTTGCTGTTTAACGGCGCCGTGTGCACGGCGCCTTTGAAAAATATATGTTTATAAAAAACCTATAGGCTTGTACTCAACCCACTACACTTGATTTTTGTGCCTCTACAGGCTCACGAAAGTCAATACCAGTGTCGCGAATACAATAACGTATAAAACATACACACAAAACGATATAGTATAATGAATTTGGAACTGTATACAGTTACGCGGATATTCGAGTCCATGGCAACAAAAACTTACGCATGGCGTCATTCAATAGTCACGCATGAAATACATACAAACATGAACTTGACATTCACTGCTTTATATATAAGGCAGACGATATTCTTTCATATTGCCGAAATAGCACGAAAACTACACATCTATAGAACTAGCATGAGTTGTATACAACTAATATGATATTGTGTTCGGTGAATTTCGGTTGTTTGGAATAAAGGAAATACTTACGCTTGAGACACAGAAATGATCAAAGACACTGTTTCAATAGACTAATTGCCCGCATGTGAATCGAAAGTGAAACAAAGAGCTTTTTTGAATTGTATTGAAATTTACATACATTTGAAATATTTGTATTGAATATTTTTCTCTGCTTTTATTGAAAGACGTATATTGTAATGTTTTTTTTTTCAATTCCTCAGCGAAAGGGGAGAAGCTCTTTCTTGTCTGAACTTTTTTCTTACGTTACAAAATTTCTTTCTTTAGTTGAAAAATTTTGAACTTAGGACGTTTTTTTATTTTTCTCATTTTGATCTGATTTCATAAATTACTAGGTACAATAAAGCTATTCCATGTAATTGGGTTACTAGTTACTCAAGTAAAACTAAGTCCAAATGAGGCTTGCAAATTATTTCAAGTTTTTTTTTCGTTCAATTCATTTTTATTGAATGTAACATAATTCTATGGAAAACAATTCTTTTTTTAATAACAAACAAAGAAATGGTCAAAAATGGTTAAAGTCAAATTTTAATTATGAATTGATCAAAATCAAAGTAGAAAAAATCCCTGAAAATAAACGATGATTGTTCTCATTTCAATATCGAATGCCAGCTTCGTTTTCAATTTCATATCTTCCTTGCTGATTTCTCTCCTCGACGGCAAATTTTATGGCTTTGTACAAAGAATATTCAACGATCCAGAAATAAAAGAGTAAAACAGGCCACAGTACTGGAAAAGTTGGGAAAATTTTCAGAAAAAAATGGATTTAAATAAAAAATGCAATCAAATTTTAATTTTAAATTATTTAAACTCTTTAACTGAATTAAATGTAATTAAAAGAGAGAACAAATCATTTTATTGGGGATTTATAACGATAAATAACGTTTACATAAACATTTTTCAGATAAATCATATTGCACCGTACGGTGGAATTTGAAAATGTGTTAAATGAATGACAAAAAAGAAGGGAAATTCAAAAAAATGTATCATTTACCATCAATCCAATGGCCACTGAAGCCTAACGAAAAGGCGATTCCGTCGTTTTTGAAATGGTTTGGAGAGCTGAACATTGAATATAATGTGCTAAAGATAAATACGATGAAAGTAACTAAGGTGGTGACAACCAAGGGCAACATTAAATTTGGCCGTTCTTTGAAAATCCCGGCAATAAAAGCACCCGCAACAAACATGCTTATGCCTGAATTGGAAAATCAACACTTCGAATCAATCAACTAGATAAATTTGTCATCGGTTTACAATCAAATAACCCAATTTCAAAGCGATCAACTTAAAGAATTCATTATCGAATCAATCAACTCTTAAAATCGAAAATATCTCGCCTGAAATACCTACAATTCAGCGCAATTGATAGTATGTCTAATACTTCTTCATCCCATAAATGATGTTCTGTGATTAATTCATCGGATTCATACGAATCGAAATCCAAGGTCACGCCGATCCCCTTAACAAATTTCTTACAAATATAATGGAAACGTGCGACTATTTCGACTACACCTAAAACCACGCCTCCCGTTTGTAGTGCAATGCAACAACAAAATTTGTCAACGGTTGGAATTTTCAATTTTAATGCGAATTCGGTGGCCATTGGTATTTTGTATCACTTGTAAAAGGTGTTTTCTACTTGAATTGCACAATTATGAACAATCGCTTGGAATTTTTAAGTTAAAAGTCACTCTAATCAACAAGAGAGAGAGAGCGAGAGAGAGAAAACGTTAAAAAACACTCTTTGCCGATAGCTTCAGAAAAATTATCAAAAATTTTCAACAAAAACCATCGATTGGGAATGAAGAGGCACAGAGAAAATCACATTTTTCGATCAAATAGTTCGAAGGCAGCGAAATCAATTGATATTGATTTATCCGAGTAAATTTGTTTCAATCCAAGTGGTTTTTGTTGAACTTTCACGATTGAATGAAGTCTTAAAGCACAAACAAATCCGCCTTTCTTTCTAAATTGAGTTTTTGAAAACAAATCGATTGTTTTTATCAAAATAAATGAAATGGAACGTATCTGCGTCAATAAAAAATGACAATCAACAATGAAAATGTAAAAAAGGACACAAAGAAATAGGAAAATTTGACGTTTTTCTATGGAATGATAGCAATTGTATGTTGCTTATATTCCATGTTACTCAGACTTGAGCTATGAAATAGACAAACCTTGACACGCACATTCGTATTTCATGTGCTCTATGTGAATTTCAATCGGAAAGTAAAAATCGGCAATTATTCGTTCTTCATTCAGCATTCACTGACATCTGTTGAAAGAAAATGGAAGTGTTTGCTGAAATTGTTCGAAATAATATGAACACTAGCCAACGGATATTCATGGGGAAATATTCAAATGGAGGAGATTGTCTTCATTTTACAGTTGATAGCTGGATACAAAACAAGAGCCGATAATTATCATGTTCAGGAACAAAACAATGAATGAAACTTTGGTGAAGAATGTTTTCTCACAGTGAATTGTAGAGGTGCGTTGCTCGTTGTGCAATTAGGCTCGATGACATGGACACTCTTCAACTCATGGTGATATAAATCGATCTATTTCATCGAATTCCTATGATGTATTCGGAAGTTATGATATCGATATCACCCAGCATTGGAAAAACGAGAAAATTGATGACCAATATGAGGCAAAGAACTTAGTAACAAGGATGTCACCTGTTCGGTCCAAAACTTCGAAAAAATCAAGATATCGAGAACCCTTTCAGCCAAATCAAAGAAAATGTGATTTCTTACCGCTATAGCCACTAACATTACCTATTAAAACCACTATTATTTAATCGACCATTAATGAAAAAAAAAAAACGCCAATTGAGTCATCATCAAAATAGTCACCCAGCATGGGATTTTTTCGCTTTCGTTTCTGTAGATGAACGAATCGAACTAATAGTTTACGGTCGGAAATCATCCGAAGAAAATGGAATTCATTGGCTTCTGTCGTAGTAACCGAAAGGAAATACACTTCAAATAAAACGCTTTTTTTCTTTTAAAATACATAAAAATAATATTTTACGAATCGTTAGTGATACATTGATGGTTTTTTATGAAATTATTTATCTATAATTGACATGAAGAAATACAACGAAAATTCTCATTCGGATACTTAAAGGGGACGTAGTTTCTTTATTGCTCACCTTAACTCAAATTCAAGCAAGTTATTGTTTCATTTCGAAAATAAATGAATGAATTACATTTGATACACTTTGTTCATTCCAAAAGTTCCGACAACCTTCAGTATTCCATATTCAAACTGTGTAAACATATGTTCGTATTTCATTTAGTTCGTGGCCCATGTAACGTGTGTCGGTGTTTCTGCCATTGTGTACCATTGATTTGTATAAAGACAGACGAACAATCCAAAAGTGGAATAACAAGCCTAAAAATAAAAAAAGCTAAAATTCAGTTGAAAATCTTCATTTTTCAGTATTTATGTTTCGATAAATTTTTGTTTTTTTAGCTACACTGCAGTGTATCCATGGATTCAGTCAATGAGCACTGCTGTCAGTGAGCTCATTAAGCACTGATGAAATAATCTTGATGCTCATTCTTGCATAACAAACCACTAGTAAACGGATTGCATAGTGCGTTTTTTGAGGTTCATTACCTGCAATGCAATATGCAGGAAATGCTATAATATGTAGCCTGGCTCCACGTGATGAACCAGCGACCAAAAACATCAAACCAACCAAAAGTCCGATCAACAGGAGAAAGAGAAACGAGAGAATCAACTCGGGCAACATTAGATGCGGATTTTTCTAATGAAATTGAGAGAAAGAGATGACGATTCAACACTTAATTCGAAATTTACGATTTTAACTTTATTCTGTGATTCATTTTTTCAGTATAAAAATAGTTAGATTCTTCAATAAATGCTGACCAAGTGCATTTTTGCGGTAGAAATGTTACATCTGGTTCAAAATGGGCAAATTTTTAACGCCAAATTCAATAATCTGACAATTGTTCGAAGAATTAGCCTGTACACCAAAAGACGATTCATTACGTACAGTCGTTTTAACTTACTGTGAATATTCCAAACAACCATAGCGTGGATGTAAGCAGCTGAAGCACAGCAAAAAAGTATTTGAGAGCAAGTTGATGTTCCATGACTTCATTATTTAAAATCTCGGTGACTCTAGAAGAAAAGTCCATAATTAGGCCATGACTATTGATATTTTCTTCAAAATTTCCGTTCATTTTGATATGTAAAAGAGTAAAGTGTTTTTTGATGGACGAATATTATTGAAGCGCACAAACACATCCACCGTTGTGAATAAATCGACTACTTACTCAAAATCTTTGTTAATCTCATACTTTGCCATCGCAATACTGTAGATACATCCGGCAATTCCTAATGCTCCTAAAAGTATTCCTGCCGGTTTTAAGCTTATGCAGCACAAACAATGTGTGACATTTAAACAACGCATTTTCACTTGTTCTTCAAGAATTGATTTGGATTAAAATTAAGGAATCAACTTGGTTCCCCGGAATTTCTCTGAATTTCAATATAAAAGAATTGGTGTAATAGAACGGTGCAAACGAAAAAGAAATTTTCCAAATGCTTTGAAAAGCTATATTAAATGTTTAGAATTTTAAAATAGAAAGAAAATACACAATCTAGTCATTCAACCTACATCGTACACTGACAACCTCATAGCAAAGTGCGTTGATTGAAACGTCATCTTTGACATTGACATTGCCATTCTCACACACGCGCATTACTAAGGATACATAAAAGCGTATCCTTTTGACGCAGACATCCACATTGCTCGAGGGGAACAAACACAACTGGAATACATACATCTCATTGTGAAATAGAACATATATACGCTAAAAGCTCCATGACAAAGGCAATTTCCACGTGTTGATTTGGTTGATTACCTCAAAACAGTATCCCATTCAAAAGACATGTAAGATTGACTCTATTTATTTGCTACGATTTACATTCCGGAATTACATCCAATTTTCCGAAATGAAGCAATATCCCGAGTGGAAATGCCTTTGCTTCTAAAAAGCAATTCATCATCGGACAGTTTTGCTTCTTTTTTCTGAATTTTCATCAAAATATTGCAGCACTCCTGAATGCTTCTGAATTGCTTCGTTTTCATCTGAATTTCTTCTGAATCCGGCGAAGCACTTCTGAATGCTCATGAATTGCTTCGTTTTCATCTGAATTTCTTCTGAATCCGGCGAAGCACTTCTGAATGCTTCTGAATTGCTTCGTTTTCATCTGAACTTCTTCTGAATCCGGCGGAGCACTTCTGAATGCTTCTGAATTGCTTCGTTTTCATCTGAATTTCTTCTGAATCCAGCGAAGCACTTCTGAATGCTCCTGAATTGCTTCGTTTTCATCTGAATTTCTTCTGAATCCGGCGAAGCACTTCTGAATGCTTCTGAATTGCTTCGTTTTCATCTGAACTTCT